TAGAAGCCAACCAAAATCTCATTTTTCCCATTTTTCGCTTTTGATGGCTGTGCTTTCACCAAATATTACTCAGAGCTAAGAAGACGAATCAGGCTCAAAACATCCCTATGGAATCTACGAGGTTTAGGCTATCGATTCGTATAAATATTGTCCGCTAAAAATGTTTTTTTGATATAGTTAATGGCCTGCGGCACCCCCCCTCAAAACCTGCGGCTGCCGCAGGGGTGCCGCAGGGGTGCCGCAGGCCATTAACTATATCAAAAAAACATTTTTAGCGGACAATATTTATATGAATCGATAGCCTAAACCTCGTAGATTCCATAGGGATGTTTTGAGCCTGATTCGTCTTCTTAGCTCTGAGTAATATTTGGTGAAAGCACAGCCATCAAAAGCGAAAAATGGGAAAAATGAGATTTTGGTTGGCTTCTAATTCCACAGTTTGGAGGTCTTCTGAAGCGAGATTCCTGAGGTGGACAAAGAAGGAGTAGTGCTTTGTCTTGAGTGCAAAAACGGATAGCTAATTCACCTTTAAAACAAAGTTAACCATGTTGGAATTTGACCATTTCACTGAGGTAGCCTAGTATCTTGAATCTTCAGAATTCGCTCACGCTTTGTCTACAGGGGGTATTTGACATGCTAATTATGGATATATTGTCCATTATGTTTGACAGAGCCTTCAGGTAATACTATCTTAAGTGTATAGTTTAGGAGGGGGGTCTTATTAAGACAGCAATCAGGGGGGGGGGGTCGTATCCGACGGTCGAGTGCCGCACCCCCCGCTTTACCCTGATCATTACCATAACTCCTCTCTTTTTCAGGCTTTGAAATATCGATGATCTCCTTATTGTGACCTCTTCTTTCGACTTTTCTGTTCTTTTTGATTTGTATGGCGAAGAAGCAGAACATCAGTGAATTCTGCCCACTTGCTGTGAGGTGAAATCTTCTGTGTTCATCAGCGTTTTGGGTACAAGGAATATTGAATGTTCACAGGTTTTTGAGTGTTGTTGTTCTCTGATGGAACTACAGTCAGTGGTTATGCTGTAAGTTTGACACTGTTATTCGGAAAATCGAGTATGGCCTAAGGCCCCGGACAGACTTCACTCGACTTAATCGCCGCGATCTAATCGCCAAGATTTCCATTCATTTTCATTTCACATTCGAAAATTTCGGGCTGGAAAAGTATCACAACCGAATGCAAGTCGATCGGCATGGAATGATTTTGTAACAGTTGTCTCGTCGCGATTCAGTCGCGACGATCAAATCGCGTGAAGTCTGCCCGGGGCCTAATGGATGCTCCTTGATATGCTCCTACTTTATTTTTGGACTGTCGCTGCTTTGCTGAGTATTCTAAAATTTATCTGGATTCTAAGATCTATCTGGACATCTGATCCGCAGGTTGCCTCTATGTTGGCAACATATTGAATTTGGAAAACTATCTGATATTACCGCATTTCTGCTAATCTGATGGTCACGACTACTGGACGCATTCCAACAAATGTAAGTTTTTTGAACATCATTTGAAACTAGCTTTGCAGTGCTTCCTGGAGAATAAATCTCTATTCTAAATGTCTACTGTAATGCTTATATTTTTAGATTTGCTGTACTAGACATTTCGCAACTCTATGCATAGCGTGTAAGTTCTAGTGTCAGTTGAATATTGTCAATAGCTTGTTCCATTTACAGGTATCGAATACAGCTTATCATTTCTTTGTGTGGCATTAACAGTCCGTAAAATGGAACTTTCTGTGAACTGCCGACACATTTGGAACGTCCAACGATATGTGAACAACCTATTGCGTCATATGATCTTTACATATAGATAAGAAGTCACTAGCTTTGTAGTCAAATATACTTTTTATGATGTGTGCGGCATTCTTTTCCCGTGTTTCGTTGCAATGTATCTTGTGGTTATAATAAATATGTTAACGTAGATTTGTAGAACCCTGTACTGAGATTACAGTGCTGGAAAAATAATGTGGCCCAGTGGCATTTGGTTGCGCCGCTCTCACATACCCGCTGGCGATTTTGCCATCTTCGGCCGGCGACCGTTTCAAGACCGGCCGGCTAGCACGGACGGCCGACACGAATTACGATGTCCCGCTATACGGCCATCGCCCGGTCGCCGGCCGGTGCGAATGTCTGACCGGCTATCGTCCGGCCGGCGACCGGCCCGGCCGAAGTATCGGTGATGTTCCAGACGGTCGTCGGCCGGTCGCCGGTCGCCGGCCGGTGCGAGTGTCTGACCGGCTATCGTCCGGCCGGCGACCGGCCCGGCCGAAGTATCGGTGATGTTCCAGACGGTCGTCGGCCGGTCGCCGGTCGCCGGCCGGTGCGAGTGTCTGAGAATGCAACAGAAACTGAGTGTGCAACTGCATAAAACAGGGCAGGCCAGACAACGGCCTAGCGCCTGGCCAGGGCACGACTCAACCAAATGAATAGTAGCGGACAAAAAAGAGGACAAGAACAAAAGAGAAGCAATTCAAAACGACAAACAGCCAGGCGCAACGAACCTATGCTAGCTGAGTGTCACACTCAATGAGGATCTAGCCAACGGACCTAAGCAGGACCAGAGCAAGGGCCAGCCAAACAGTCAGTGACAAACCTAGAATGAGCAATACATAAAAGAGAAGCGATTCAAAGCGATAAAGCATGAACAGGAGAAATTAACAACAAAAGAATGGCTTCTAGAGAAATATACACGAAATTGAGCAAAATGGAGTTAAAGGCAGCATCCAAGCAAATCTAGATCTATGGGGATTTCACGTGGAAAGTACTTTTGGGGCCCTAACTAAGGCGCTGCCCCATGCGGCAGCGCAGGTAGTGCTCTAACAACTGAGATATTCCCCTCGAAACTGGACCCCGCGATCGTATTCGCATGGATTCACGGCAGTTTCGCGCCAGGATCCATGCGAAATACGATCGCGGGGTCCAGTTTCGAGGGGAATAGCTCGGCCGTTAGAGCACTACTTGAGCTGCCGATTGGGCAGTGGCTTAGTTAGGGCCCCAAAATTACTATTCACGTGAGATCCCCATGTGTCCAGACTTGCCTGGACGCTGCCTTTAAGGAGTTAATATCAAGTCAACCCAAACCTACTCGCGTCTGACATGAAGTTCGAGACCTTGAAAAGAATCTATTATAAGGCAACACCTGACGTCCCAATAATAACTGACTCTGGAAGGACGGCACTTCCAAAAGTGCCTGCCCCTCCTGCCATACCCGACAGCTTCCATAGAATAAAGGAAAGTGCGGATACAGCTAAATTGCACATCACAAGAGGCTCCCCATCTTGTTGCTCTGGCAACTGGAAATCTGTATTACTTCCAGGCGTCATTGAAAGCATAAGCATAATAAGGACTCGCGCCGCTCTCAGCAGATTACGCCAGGGTACGTAGCCGCCTGATCCTGCTGCAAAGGCCATGGGCAGGGGAAGGGGAATAACTGGTATGGGTCTGAACACTCCGCGCCGAATGCGATCCCATTACAACCCCTGTTCTCAGTGAGTGCCATGTAAAAGAGGAGCCCAAGGCCCGGCACGAGTCAGTTTCTAGGGTTTCTGAAAACGAAGTCTCCCTTAACTTACGGAGGTTTTACGAAGTCCCCTTTGACCTACCTGCTTAGAAGAAGATGAAAACAAGAAAAAATTTTTAGTCTGAAAGAAAAGACGTAAGATAAGAGCGAAAATCTAAACTGGAGCTGAATACTACGCATGCCAAGGCTTTGGCATTAGAGCGCGATATCTAACAAAGCGAGAATAAATGAAGGCAAAAAACAAAGGAAAGGCAATGATATGAAAATGTCTTCATGCTCAGGGATAGATTTTTGACCGGGGAATCCGTCCATGCTAAAAAGATCCGAAACTTATGTGAAATAACGAAAATATATGCTCCAGACGATCTCAGATCGTCTGGTGGCCGTCTGGAGACGATCTAATTTTGGAAAAGGTATTACTTCACATAAGTTTTTAAATCTTTTTACATAATACTTTCCCAAATAATTTTCTATACATATAGTTCAATTTTGGTGTCATATGCTTCTGTGTGCGCTGTAGACAAGCAATTTGTTTATTTTAGCCTTGCTTTCAAATCGCGCGCACTTTTCGCCATGCACGATAGAGCATGTCAATCGTGTGATAATCTGTCCGAAAAGCTTGTGTTCGACTGAATGGCGCTCATTCTTGGTGCTTGGCCCCCATTCGTCAGAAACGATATCTCCTTTGCTGTTTGCTTTAAAAACGAAGTCCAGCCTGCTTCCAGACGATCTGTGCCGGGCCCTGGAGGAGCCCAATTATCTACATTGCAAGACAGAGAGGTGGGAGACATTCTCAGCTGATCCAACCAAATTTGCAATTCAACAAAGTTCTGGCGCCGCACTGAAGGCCGCTCACAAAATCGTCCACCTTCGTGGTCTGGCAACCCAGTCACGAGTAATAGAGGTCTATGTCACTCAAAGAAAGCCATGTATAGCACATGCAATGACCAGTTGGTAGCTAGAAATGCCCTAATCGCAAGATTCGGGAGCACTTTTCAAGTGATGAATAAGAACAAGGACTCAGCATGAATGCTCACTTAACAGGCACCCATGGGGGTGAAAACCGGCAACTCCTGTGAGTCTGAGGAGATCTATGATAGAATCACCCGTGCAAAAGTCGCCAACGAGTCAAGGACAACGCGAAGCAACTACCACTAAAGGAAGAAACAACACGCCCGTAAAATTGTATATATATGCTTATAATAAACTACTCGAGTATGGTGTATAGGATAAATAACCCTACGTACATTCAAAACAACAAAGCGTCATGCGTGAAAATATTTTTATGCAGCAAGCACGAAATTATAGATTCAGTTTCAGTGTATGAATACTGGCATGTTTCCACGCAAAAGTAATACGTTAACACAGAGTGGACTTGGGGCGCTTCGTGAACGCCACTATGCCAAGGTATGGATGTCATCACAAGAATAATGGGATTAATAACAATTATCACTATTGAAGCGGGCGATGGATGCTAGTCGACCGTGATAAGATCCTCGAATTGATGAATACGGCCGAGCCTCTGAGGCAAGGGATTGGGGCAAGGGGAAACCCCCTTGCCGCACGCGTTTCCGCGATGGAGGAGATGATCAAGAACTTGACTGAGCTGAAGCCCTTGAAGTGGGTGAAATCATAACAATTAGATAGAGACACTACAATCAATTACTTTAGAGAAAGCGACACCACATTGGAAGTCGCACCTTCGTCAAGCCGGGCAGCCTCGACAAAGTCGACCAAGCGTCAGATTTCTTCTAGCTCGGACACTTCAGAGTCAGATGCTGAGAATAAGAAACACGCAGCGGAGAAGCCAGGCCCGTCCAAAACCTCCACACCGAAGAAGGCAGTGAAATTGAGATTGCAAGAAAGAAGATAAAAAAAGGAGTCCCCTTGAGCGGTCTTTTTTGTTGAATATTAGACTTGTTGAACACAAAACTGCAAAGAAGGTTCCTTTTTAATCCTCAATTGAACTGCCACCAGTGGGCTGTCACCACCGAAAACATTCGTTTTACACTATGAACGCCTCTTCTAGGAAATTCCCTTCCCTTCTTTTTGGTCAGTAAGAACAACAATCTAGACTAGCGAATGCACCAGAAACGATCAAACAGCCGAGTGATACCCTGAAAGCATAGACCTGAGATATTCGACATGTTGTGATGTGAGCGCAAGGAAACAGGAGTCGCAAACCTGATAATAACAAAGTGAAATCTGGACTATGACTGTGCGAAATCTGGTGTTATTTTGTAGTGGATTTTCTTATGATTTTATGTATGGTAGCAAAAAATCAGAAAGGGGGGGTCGTATCTGGGTCGCATCTAAATTTTTTCGGAGCTGTCGAAGCTTGTTGGCTGCAATTTTGTTGCTATGAGGCCATCCTCCTACTTTGCCTCATAAAAATTGCAGGCTGTTTCTCTGATAAGTTACAAAATTGTAAGCTCAAAAATCCCAGTTTTTGCTTTTTAGGATCGCATCTAAATTTGCGAGAGTCGCATTTAAACTTTTTCAAGCTCACCGCTCCTCAAGGGCTGAAACTTTTTCTATTGATAGTCTGGGCACTATGCTACAGAACCTCTTCATTGCAGCCTCTTTTCCTGGCCTAAGATACGAATTTTCGAACTAACGTGCTCATGCAGTTTTTGACATCGTTCTGAGTGGCGCTGAAGCCGTTTTCGCAGGAAAAACTGTGCAAGAGGTAGGAAGTAAGCGTCTTGGTTGAAAACACTCTTTTCTTCAACAATCTTTTGTAGTTCAAGAATGTCATTTCTTTCGGCGTGCAAAAAGTTTGTGTCGCATACGGGAACCGAATTTGCTGGCCTGAAGTATGCCTGGAAATTTTTAAAAAAACTTGCAGAATCTCAAACATTATCGAAGGTGTGTATGTGTGCTACAGATGCTGGGCGCACCCTTGGCCTAGAAATTCTGATGCCGAAACCTCACTGAAGTTCGCACGCAGGTGTTTTTTTTTGAGATTGACATTCTTTATGCAGCGAGAAATGTGGGCAGGGGAGGTAAGGGGGTAGATGGGGGGCGGGATGGGTGAGAGCGGGGGGTAGATGGGACGGGGGGTCGTACAGATGGGTACCTTCAAGGAGAGGGGGGGGTCGTAAATGGGGGTCCCGGATCGCATCAACACGCTTGACCCTGGTCGGGAGGCAACTCTATCTCGTGTTAACGCGAGAGCTTATGTCATAGTAAATGGCCATGCCGGTATGGAATCCCTGCTGGTTGCTAAAGCCAGATCACTCTGGTTCGACGTCGGGGCGCAAAACCACATGTCTACGACATGTGTACTGGTCAAGATGTTGTATCCAGTAAAGCAATGTTTGTATACTACGATCTGTTGAGACTATCCTATGATCGGGTGTTTTGTCTTCTGCTGTCTAGGGGGTGTTTTAACTCACTCTCTAGCGTGATGAGGAAAAAGAGGAAAAATAGCAAAGTGCGGTGACTAAGTGTATCATACTGGTCCCATGCAAAATATGTATTTGCTTCGTTTTCGAATAAGCATCTAGTTTTGAATTCCTAATCACATAATATCATCAGATGTATGTCGTTCTTTTACAGTAACATTGATTGTAATTTATGCAGTGTAGCTGGTCGTTTCGGTATAAATAATTTATACAGTGCTGGTCAAAAGTTCGGCTTAGCCTTAGGCTTAGGCATGGGCTTAGGGAAAAGCCACACTGTGATTTTGCTATATCCAATTTTAAAAGGTGCTGCGAGATTCACAGATTTGTTTCATTCATGAAAAGGCACACTTCGTCCACAACCATTTTGGCTCGTGACCAAATGTTAATGCAAATCCTGTGCCTCACCAATGCTCGTCTTTCGTCGCAAAAACACTCATTTACTTGTTTCTGCTGCATAAAAACTTGTTGGATATAAACAGTATTCATGAAGTCCGATGCATGATGCCAAATTTGTCACAGGGGTAAGATTGTTTTTTTGGATAACTTAAATTTTAGTGACATCTCCAATAGTCTCATAAAGTAATACCTCTCCAATCTAGCATGGTGAATTACCTAATCTCTGAAGGGTTGAATTTTGAATGAAGCAGTCGATCCTATTCTTAGTTTCGGCTAGAAATGACAGGTATTTTACTGAGTACGTATGTAATGTAAGATTAGACCATTTAGCTGACAAGGACTTTCCAAGTAGAAAAAGAGAGTTTTCTTCATCCGGAACAGTTATTAGTAAGGTGTTTCAGCACTCAAGTTTATTTCTGAATTCGCAGTTTTGTCAGATTCTGCTTTATTCCGCTCAAAGCCTCATTGAGCGCAAAATCTTTATTCTAAATTGCTCAGGATTTGAACGAAATTCTTTCTCAGCTTTCATAATTCAGCGCTTCTAGTCGGCAATCAAACTTAGATTTGTAAACAGTGAGGACTCTTTCCAAAAACTCCATTCTACCATGGGCTATACATAATCTATTGTGATAATACTTTCTGAAGATATGAATTGAACTCGGAGCCAAAAGCAAAGAAACGGCTCAATTGTTATCGAAATTCTGTCCTTATCTTCTCAAACCTTTCTCGTATGAGCTGTTAGGGTTTACACGAGATGGGTAAGCATCTTCACTTTAGATCTCATTTGAAGCGATTGAGTGTGTAAAAAAAATTTGCAAAAGTACTTTTTGCTGTTGTGCTCATCCATCACTGCTTCATTTGAGCACAGATCACAGCAGCCACTCGATTTTGTTTATCTACGCTTTCAGATTTTGGCACATAATTGATTCTGCTGAAGAAAAATATTTTTGAGAATAGACGCATTCGCTTTAGCTCGTAATGTGCAGATGTAGCTGTAGACGAGAACCGCTGTGAATTAATGTCATCGATGCTCTACCATGTTGCATTGGAGCTGGTTTATATGCATGTTAGAAACTTTTAAACCAGACTGACTAGAGAGCTGAGGGAGGTTTGTACAGCGCATATAATTTTGAGATGCAAGATTGAGATCTGGCTTCAGCAACAGATTTTTACATGCACCCATAACAGACGTGATTACATCGTCCATTATGCCATTTGCATAAACAATAAGACAAATAATCGATTTCACATTTTCGCCAGCTTTATCGCTAGCTTCTGGCACACTTTGTTGATTGTTTACTGATGACATTAGCAGTTTTGTTCCTGTGTGATGCAAAAATCCCACAAAAGTCCAACAGCTAGAGATCTTACCAAAAATTGTCATCTTCTTAGATAGTATCGCTCAAATCATAAATCGCTCAAAAGCTTGCATGGCAAGCAATTCATCCAAAAATCCTTGGAACCTCTGAAGAAGCCATGTTTGTAAGTATGGTCGTCAATAAACTCAACAGCCCTTATCAGTTCTCTCATCAGCGCTCAGTCATAACACCAAAAAATTCAGTCTTATCGCTCTTCCAGGTAGTTTCTGTGCCATCAGAAGTTTTCGCCTCCTTCGTATGTTTTAGTCTTTTAAATCTGATTCATTATGCTCAGTCATGTTGGAGGTTCGCATTTTGTGCGCTTTAGCTTGCAAAACCCATCATTTTACGATCCAGAGTGCTTATTATCCCTGTTTGCTAGTTTCTTTCGAGTCATCCAGCATTTCACTGACGCTTCATTATAGTGTAAGTCAATAACAGGTGGAACGACTATCAATCCATGAGGTGGTCATTACATTGTTGTAATAGCTTACTATTACACGTAATGCAATCTGCATTTTGTCCCGTGAGAGTAATCAATGAATATTATTAGCTTCATATTTTTCCTATTGCCAATGTCATCTACCTCAAACATCTGCTTCATTTGCCTCATGTTTCTACAATGCCTTCCTCACTGCTCAAAGACAGTGGGTCGGCAAAATGGACTCTTCTCGGATTTTGGTGGTGTTAGATAGACCCCCCCCCCCCAGTACACTGTAGCCTAAACCCCAGTGGAGATCTGAAACGCATTTTCAGGACTTAATGTATTAAATGGCAGGTGAGGTTTGTGTTACAGTGTACTTGAGGGGTCTACTACTTAACACCGCCAAAATTTAAAGGGACCCATTTTGCCTTTAATCCAAAAGTTAGCACATAAGTATTCGAGACAAGTATCTTGCTTTTTTCCTGCATTTTTTGTTTTGACCTCCACCGCTGCCATTTTTTATACAAGTGACTCCAATTCTTAGAACTTGCGCGCCTTAGAAATGTGTCACTGGAAGTAGTCGCCTCTTATTATTGCAACAATTGCATTTTCTTCGTTATAGTGGTTACTCACTATCAGCTGCTATTTCCAAGCGCCAACATTCTTGAGTTTATAAGTATGAGTAGGAGTGGTGGGACTTAAAACTACTACACTTGAACATATTTATGAGGGTAAATATACCCTCTTATCTCCGCAACACAACATGATGGACTAAAGCAAGGTAGATAACGGAAGAGAGCTCCAAAAAATTGTAAAGTTCTAGGAAGACACTCATATGTATCTCAATCAAAACACTTGCTTTGGTTGAGATTTTTTTCATTAATGGTGATGATGAAGTAATGTTGATCATTTACACCGTGCTGACGGCTAAACACACCCATTTTGCATGTACCATAGTGTATGATCAGCTCTAAGATTCCTGTCGAGGCGGGTTGCGGACTTTCTCTGATTATAAAGGTATTGTTGAAGCTCCAAATTATAGCACTGTTTTTCGTACTCTTTCGCTATCAAAAGCGGCCACTCTTTGACTGCCACGACTCGGGCTATGTATGATTGGTAGAGCCGATAATATATCACTTCATACTCAAAACATCAACGCTTCTATAATCGGACTACACGTCATCTGTTTTTTATTATCATTTTTTGACCAAAACAATTTGGAGATAGGCCGCATGTATCATAGTGTACTACAGACTTGTTGACCAGCTAGGTTATGTTTTTTTTCGAAGCTGGTGCACTGACAGTATACTACAATTTGATGTGAATCTTGCGGCACTGATCCAAGACAGTTCCAATATCTGGGATCTCTTGTATGAAGATTATGGCTTTGCCACAAACTCAGCTTACATTCATAAATCAACATTCGTCGAACTTATTCCGTCAGTATGTTCAAGCCATTTTTGAAATTCATCCGCTTTTCGTACTCTCTAGCAACTTAGGTCCATTGCAACATGAGCGCACAGGAGGAAGAAGTGAGGGCCCAGGTGAAAGTGGTGGAAGACAAGGAGGTTGAGCTGTGTATCGCCCATTTGAGGTTTCTTTCAAAATTTTACATTACTGTTATTGAGGTAAGCTGAGTTACATTTGGAGCTAATTTTGTTCAATCTCTCACAGATGATTGCAGAATAAAAGAGCGCAAATGAATATGGCTCATACACAATTTCTAGCTAATAAAGAAGATTACAATGCTTATAGCGAATGGACGGGTGCGAAATTGAAGGTGTGGTCTTTCACACGAATGACTCAGCTATATTTTTTATGATAACCTCCTCGGTTCCGAATCTGCGGGGGGAGGAAGCATGTCCATAAATATAAGATTTTTCCAATATTTGCAGATTATCGATTTGTACAAGTACTGGTTGCGTGAGCTTCTTAACATTAGCATAGTAGATGATCTTCGAGCACTGTGTATGCATCAGATGATGGCTGCGGATTGCTATTGGTTTCTCGCCAAAATGCATCAACCAAGTTTGTTTGCACTCTAAACTATTTCCACAGTCCCATTATTTCTCGTATTTAGCTTTCCACTTTGGACACTCAAACTACGAAATGGCATGCAGATGTATGGTGAAAATACTGAATGCACTGTTTGACTTGCTTCCACAACATAACAAATTCGTTATCCACCTGGTTCGCAAATACTCGCTTATCGTGCTAGATTATCGTAAGGAAGTTGGTTTAAGGTAGGTCAGTCCAATCTTATCTATATGGAACTTGTGCAAGAAAGCATATCGTTTGATAGAGGAAAGCAAGCTCTTCAAGATACAATTTGCACATTGACAAAAATTCCCATACGTTATGAACTTTACAAGCAAAATCTGAGAAAATTCAAATACAAAAATCATATTTCTGCCCAAAAAGATCTTGCGAACTTCCGACTTGGTGCATATACTCCCACTCCACCATATGTAGATTGGTGCCTTTTTTCATAGCTAATATTTGAAAGCTAAAATGGACAAAAAAATTCAAATGTTGACTTTGGGTACTTTGTACTAAATTCGATAATACTCAGAAACTAACGCTTATAGGAGGTTGAAAAATATTTGTGATTGTATTTCCAGCGCAACCACAGGTTTTTATTTTGTAGTACAGACTTTACCATATGAGAATTGCTTAACACTGCAATTGAAACAGCAGACTTCCATTTTTCAAACTTCTTACTGCGAATAAAGTACAATAACAACTGTACAATGAATGCTTGATTTGGGTAGTGTATGTGCTCCCAAGCATAAGGTTTGCAGAATCTGGACGGAGAGCTGGTTTTGTGCATTTAAATTTTTTCGCAATTTGCTTTCAAAATCCAGTATAACGAGTGTTTGCTGTTGTTCAGATGCCGTCTTGTAGAGCATGCTTTACTTTATCGTAAAATGTGTCACCTCATTTTTACATCGCCCTTCCGCGACCGCTTAAGCAATAGACATGGTATCCCAGTATGCTAATAAATGCTAGAATATTTCTAGTTTGCTCAAAAGTTCTAATATTTGTAAGCTACTGACACAGTCCCCATTTTATGAAAACTTCAGGGTCAAGACCGGATCAGACGGAGAAAATTTTAGAAGCGTCCATAAAAACTTTTCTATGTGCGAAAAATTTGTTGCTTCTCTCCGCTCTCTCTCCTTCCCCCGAAAAGAATTTTCACAGACTAATGCTAACTCTAAATGTTAGGAAGTTCCGAGTTACACATATAGTTCTACCACTGCGAAGATTAAGGAATTAATTCAATTTGATATATCGATTTTCTCAACTCACATGTGTTGTGAGGAATTACGCCATTTGCATAAAAAATTTGAACGATCATTTTCCAATGACGATGACATTGGAAAATTTGATTTGTTCATTCCTTACAATCTACATGATTCAATAATCTTCATTCCTTACATTCCACATGATTCAATAAATCATAAAGTTCTGAAGTAATCCTTCAATTTTGTCTATATGAGTATTTGTGCTTTAAAATTTTAAGACCTTAAGAACATTGCTTTTTTCGTAAGGAACTGAAAATGTGGGATTAATCGAATATAAGACCAAAACTCCCAAATTTGGCGTATCGCAAAAGCAACAAATAGGACGGTAACCCATTTTTGGAGCAAGTTTTTGAGCAAAATTTGATTAACTTGTGAATAGCTTGAAGATGCCGCACTAATTTTTGCTTATATCACAAAATTTGATAGAGAATGTATATTCTTCAGAGACTAGTGAAACTACGACGAGTATAGAATCATCGCATTTGCAATAGCCGTATTTCAGTTCGCCTCCGGTTCAATCTGCTTCGCACACATCTACTGAAATGCACGGAAGAGATCTTGAAATATGTCAATCGAATACCTCCAGGTGTCGCACATACATCGATAAGTTGCAAGGTAATGCATTAACAGGTATAAGATATTTCTATAAAATGTCTCCAGCTTCACATTGAAAAAGAAGTTTGTGTCTTTTGACGAAGAAAGAGTCAAATGAAAATGCAACTCAGATGGTGTGCTGATATTGAACCTTACAATTGAATGGGATTGCTATAGGAAAGGCATGACAGCTGGACCCCAAGAAATGAGAGGCAAACAGAAGTTGGAGCTCATTTCAGCGATAGCTTGTGCATTCAGAAGCTCGAACAAAACAGATAAAGCTCAAATCTCTTTTTGCAATAGAATCTAAATTTTTCATGGCGTACGCAAAATTCATGAGATTTTTTTCGTCAAAGTGTATGATGTCTTTTGTGATGTAAAAGCATATGCTTGAAGGCAGCCTTAATCTGCCTCTAAGCTGATCCAGGTCAGGTCAATTCTATTGATTTGATCCGAGCTGTTGTTTTTATTTTCGATGTATTTGATCAAAAAGAAATTAAGAAACATTCCAAAAATTTTGCGAAGAAATTGTTAGCGTTTTCAAAGTTTAGGTTGGTGCAAAAATAATGTGCATTTTGAAAAGTTTCACTTTGAAAAGTTATAACTTTCTTAAGTCCTCATACTTTTGAATATAGTCAAGACCATTAGAAACAGCAAAACTTTCGCAACTTAGCGCATACCTGATCATATTGATAGTACAAACGGGAAGAAAACCATGCGTCAAAAAACTGAAAGGTCCTCTTTCGAAGACCTCGTTTTTGAAACCTTACAGCTCCTTTCAAGTTTGTTCCTATGGCTGATAATCAGCTCATTTTGTGGCCGCAAGCCAATAGTTTATGTATGTACAGAAAACACCTCAACAAAAGAGTTTCACGAAAAGAAAAGAAAAAATTCCAAACTGTCCACCTTTTAAGCCTGTTTGCGAAATTATGTAAATTTGGATTTCTTCATGCACTGTATAGCTGACTTTCTCTGCAAAAATTGTAGGCAAGATATCCTAACCTCAAGCTTACAGAAACGAGCGAGCTTTGGCGATTACCGTAATCATGGGAAATTGACCCGTACGGCTAGCAGCAAGTATTTATCTTGGGGGTGTTTCTCAGTCCACATATTTTCGAAAATCTACTTAAACATGCAGTGAGTAAACAGTAATCACCCCCCAGATGCTATGTTTTTCAAAAGAATTCGTTCATTTACGCCTGAGTTGTGGCTAAGGAAGTTGAAGCAACGAAATTTCGGCTTTGAGTGCACTCTACGAGATGTGGTGAAATTCTCACAGATGAGATAGAAGCTTAATTTCGCCACTGTTGGAAAGTACATGAAGAAAGCTTTCCAATGATATGCAGAATCTATACCGAATAAAAAATTTTGAAGAAAAAAAGTTGCTTGGAAAGTAGGATTAGAAAAACGTACATTATTTTTGCAGCAACCTAATAATTTAAAACTCCCTCATCTTATATAAAAGCTGAATGTCTGTTTGTCTGTCTGTCTGTCTGTCTGTCTGTCTGTATGTCTGTGTGTACGTATGTTCCGAATAGAAAATCCCATTTCTGAACCGATCCGGACCAAACTTGGCATACATACACTTCGGGCCCCGGCGGGTGTCATGGCTACTTTTCGTTTATCGATTTTTTGCAAAATTTGAGCTACGGGGCTGGGAGTTGGCACAGGGGGGTAATCGAGAGCCGGGTAAGCCAGCTATTTAGTAAAAATCATCAACTGCTATTCTTGAGCAAGAAATACAAAGAAGATTCCACATAGTGTACAATTCGCCGAAGCGCAAGCTGCTAGAATGCACCTTCATAGAAAAAAAGTCATTCAAACTAATTCTTGTCCATGTAAGTGGCCAACAAAAGCAGTGTTTACAGGAGGCTGACAGTAAGCAAGACAAAGCTGTAATCATGTGCATCAATAAAAAACGCAGCAGTTTATGACTCAGAGCTGACTTTCTTTGATTCATGCACCTCAGCTTTCTAGATCTAAGCTTTTATCTCGATAAGTTTCTCATCATAATACCCAATCTTTCCTGAACTCACTAGTTTGAGAATATATTATTATCGTTCCGCAAAACTGCATCTGATTCAGGCGCAATCATGTCCAATACAAGCACATACTCCGATATACGCCGACAGATTTTACAGCTTGCTAGACAGTTCGGCATGATCCACAGACGAGATGGTACATCCATGACCATAGACTTTGATTAGTTTTATCTTGACAACTGTGTAAACGGGTAAAGCTGGACGGGATTCTAAACTGTGATCACCTCCATTGTGCAAAAAAGCACTGAAGCTTATGTTTGCAAACAGGGCTCTGCACAGGTGGCTAATGAGCAAGCTGGATATCGTTTTTGGGACAAAAAGCAAGGGGTTTTCGTTTTTGTGGCCGAAAAGGCCCCAAACTCGCGACGTTTTTTTAGTCAACGTTTCGTTTTTTTGGAAAATTTTTAGGATTTTGGTCTAGGGTCAAAGGGGACTTCGTAAAAATTCGCAAAAGTCAAGGGGGATTCGTTTTTTGCATTTTCAACTAGCCACCTCGTGTCGAGCCCTGATTGCAAATCTTTGCAAACCTATGCTAGCATTGTAAATACCCCTCTGAATTCATTTCAAGATGTGAGATTATGGGTACCCGCTTATTGTAAACAAGGTGCCAGAACGTGAAAGTGTTATTCTTAAAATATTTAGGTTGAAACAAACTTATTTCAAACGAGCTGCTGTTTCCTTTAATTGTTTTTCTTGTTAAAGTATAAATGTTGAAACTGTTTGTTTTCATCGAACACTTGTCACTATGTATTAGATTGTTCCAGAAGGTTTTGACGCAGCTAATTTCTTAGAGTTTTGCACTTGTTGCGGAAATATTAAGCTAATTGAAAGCACCTTTCTTGTTCTTTCTAGTGCTTCCTAGCTCTTCACGAAACAACTTCTCAGTGATGAAAGTCCAAAATTTGAAGCCGTTGCCAAAATGCAGTCGTGCTCAAGAAAAAGTTTCTATGGAGAGAATTTCCGCAGTATTCCCGCATTTGAATATGTAATATTTCATAATGACTTAGGGTGTAGTAGACTAACATACGCACACTTCCCCAAAAAATATGAAAAAAATTGAAAATATGTCTTACTTTTCCGATTTTTTTTCTAAAGGTGAAAGGCAAACTCAGTTATTCAACCAGCAAAACAATCTACGTATAACTACAGATGGTGCATTCATTGCGTAGGATAGAGTGAACCGAGAGCAAGCGAGCGTCGACCACTTAGCTTTCTTCGTTTGCGACAGCAAGAAAAAATCAAATATTAGAAAGTTGGCATATTTGCGCCCGCGGAGGAGGGCTCAACTAGTGGTTTTTATTTGCTGGTAAAAATGTCGTGCAGCAAAAATAACTCAAATTTTCCTTAGCCTTAAAAGAATCTTCCAATTATAGGCTATTATTGATGGTAGCCAAATATGTCGCGTATCTTCATTTGGAAGCATCAATACGTCAAAGTAGACCATTTTGAAAGAAATTTCACAGAATTCTCCAAATTTTCTCTTCTTTATCGTTTGCCCTCTTTACATGGCATACTGTGCTTATGATAAACATAAACTCGCTTAATCCAACAAAATTCAACTTGTTAGAAGATGTTGATTAGTTATAACATTTCTAGTCAGAAAATTTGCAAATCGGACACAATCAACCGACTATCTTCGAACAGTGTTAACGAATGGCATGGACGAGATTAAACGAAATATTGTGAAAAAACACAGAAAGTGTCATCGGTTAATTTCCATATGACATCGATCAAGTCGAGACGCACTAATGCTTGGAACGGTGGGATACTTTTCGGACCCAGCATGGCGCTTTGTGGCAGCAAACTGTTCCAGCACAGATTCTCTTCACGATTAAGGTTATCTCTGTTATTTTGTTGTTCAAATCTATTGACATTCCATTCAGGGCCTGAAGGGTAGCAAACATCAGATTAAAATAGTATGTGAAAAAGCAAAGTTACCGTTATCACTTCATACATTTGCTGGGACACAGCCCTTCTGAACCAACCGTCCACTACAGTAATCTAAAACTAGGGCGCGTGCGCTGGGTGCGGACGAGTGTTCCGCCGAGTGCTCGTACTTTCGAGAATCACCAGTTCCTTCTAGCTCCAGCACTAGAATGCAAGCCATTTTCGCTGAATTTATTCATATACAGGGTGTTCCAAAAAAATGTGAACACTGTTTGATCGTTAATAACTTCGTTGCTTTCACGTCTTTCGCCGAGCTTGAGGCATCATTCTGTAGAGCGAGGTTCAACTTAGATTTGTAGTATGGAGCGAATACCGGTCGGTGTTCGTTACTGTAGGGTTATGGTATGAACTTCTAGCATGTGGACCTATTGTGAAATAAGCCATTTTACAAAATTTTTTTCAAAAAATCTGAATACTCGTGTACTAGGGTTTTCGCGCACGCTGATTCCATTACACAACTTTTTATAAGTGTTTTTAGCTTTTTTGATGGTGTAATCACCTTTCCGACAAGTGCTGGAAATTCACTTATTACGGTTTACCTTGGATAACTTTGGAAAGAAGCATCACAATAAAGTGGAAGTTTCATATTCAAAATTAGCGACTTCCATTACCATAGTACAAAAGTTTTGGCTTGTTTGGTTTTGTTCCGAGGAGAATATGGCCTCCAATGGCCTAATATCCTTCAAAGTTCCTACCGTAATCGTGCAGTAATGAAGAGAGATTGATGATTCGCTCCATATTGCAAATCTAAGTTGAACCTCGCTCTACAGAATGGTGCCTCAAGCTCGGCAAAAGACATGAAAGCAAGAGAGTTATAAACAATCAAACAGTGTTCACATTTTTTTTGGGACACCCTGTATAGACCGTCCGCTAAAATATGCTCCTGGTTCTCGCCTAAGGTATGCTACTTGATAAATACATTTTTGGAGTCTTTTCAGTTTCAAGATTCATGAAAAAAAAAACTTCTTAGGTTCTTTCTGGACTCTTCTACGCTCACTTTTTTGCATTTCTCTTATCTAATTTTCCTATGTGCGCGATCCTTACAGCGTCGTGCATCATCACATATCTATGTTAATGTGAGCTTGATGTTTTTGAGGAAAGCCCACATAGTCTAATTTGCTGGCAACTTTTCAAAGAGATATAACATGAATTGATAAGCTATGCTAAACTTCGTCATCAGATACAGGTTTCCTGCATCTGATGACGGAAGTTTAGCAGGTTTGCAGGTTTCCGACATCTCATTGTCACTTTGAAACTTTCCAAAAAATTATCACCTTGTTTAATGACAACTACGAACATGCTCTGGAGTATTTAAAATTCAAGATACATGATGCTGGTGCATCAGAGAGAACGAACGCTACCAAGGCCAATCCCGTAAATCACGGTCATCGAAGATCATTCTTACTCGACTAGAATACGACCACAGGAAAATTTGATATACAGGGTGTCCCAAAATAATGTGCACACTGTTTGATTTTGAATAACTCTTTTATTATGAGGTCTTTTGAAAAGCGGTAAGCGCCATTTTGTAGAGCTGGCTTCAACTTAGATTTGCAGTATAGACTGAATCACCGGCCGCTCTTCATTACTGTAGGATTACGGTAGAAACTTCAAAGAGGGTTTTGGGCCATGAAAAATTATATTTTGCCTTAAAAAGGAATCAAAACAGTCTAAAAACTTTTACACTAGGCCAAATAGAGCTGCTGATTCTAACTGTAAATTTGCCAACTTTTTATGATGCGTCATTGAAGAGTTATGCCGGGTAAGAGGTAGCGGCCAATTTTTCAATGTTTCTAAAAAGTGCGGTTAGACCGTTTAGAAAGCTTCGCAATCTTGAGAATAGTTGAGCATTGAACTCAGCGTCTCTAAAAACCCTATTACACAAGTTTTCACATGTTTTTAAAAATTTTGAAACGGCAGCTTTTTTCAACGTGACACCATATATTCCAAGTTTCTACCGTAACCCTACAGTAATGAAGAGCGGTCGGTGATTTGCTCTATACTGCAAATCTAAGTTCAAGCCAGCTCTACAAAATGGCGCTTACCGCTTCTCGAAAGACCTCATAATAAAAGAGTTATTTAAAATCAAACAGTGTGCACATTATTTTGGGACATCCTGTATGTTGTTCAAAAACTCCACAGTCGTCACCAGCAAAAAAACGTACTCAGACAATCGCCGGGGGCAGGCGGTCCGCAAACTCGCGTTTTTCTGCAGGCGCTCAGCAGAATTTTGGGGCGTGGCCAAACCTTCAGCGGGCGGCACTTCCTTTACTGTCTAATGTTCTACCAGCGGGCAGCAACACAGAATTTTCTGCAGGCGCTCGTCAAATAATCTCTTTCAGCGAGCGCTGGTCAAATTTTCAGCTGGCGCTCGGACGGTTTTTAAGCAGTTTCGGGTGTACGCCGAGCAAAGGGGAGACTCTACATGGCAGAGAAGTCATAGATGGTTTAATTACTCAAGTTTGAGGTACTTTCTCTCAGCGGAAAGTACCTGGGGGCTGCGCGGTCTTCCATAAAGGACCGTGCGGCCCTTGAAAATTTGCATATTCTCGCGGAAAGTCTGCGAGAATGCGGCCACTGCGCCGCAGCTAATCTGCAAGGAAACCGAATTGTTCTTCAAGCATCGTTCAAAATTTCGCTTAAATTCTTCCAAATATCTGCAAGCGGACCGCAAGAAATCAGCGAACTATTTTTCCGGTGCCCGCTTGCCCAAAAATGGCATGGCCGCCTGCCCCCGGTGATTATCTGAGTAGTGCACATTTCAACTGAATGTGACTACATCTCAGATAATCGCCGGGGGCAAGCGGCCATGCGAATTTTGAGCAAGCGGGCACCGGAAAAATAGTTCGCTGATTTTTTGTGGTCCGCTTGCAGAAATTTGGAATAATTTTGGCCAATTTTTAGACGAACGCTCGAAGATCTGTCGCGGTTTTTCTATACATAAATTGCGGCACAGTGGGCGCATTCTCGCGGATTTTCCGCGAGAACATGCAAAATTAATGAGAGCCGCACGGTCCTTTTTGAAGGACCGCACAGCCCTCAGGTACTTTCCGCTGAAAGAAAGTACTTCAAACTTGGGTAATAAAACCATCGATGGCACCTCTGCCACATAGAGTCTCATCTTTTCTCGGCGTACGCCCGAAACTGCGTAAAAAGAGTCTGAGCGCCTGCTGAAAGTTTGGCCAGCGCTCGCTGAAAGAGATTGTTTGACGAGCGCTTGCAGAAAATTTTGTATTGATGCCTGCTTGCAGAAAACGCAAATACCGCCCGCTGAAGACTTGGCCACGCCCCGAAATCTTGCTGACCGCCTGCAGAAAAGCGCGAGTTTGCGGACCGCCTGCCCCCGGCGATTATCTGAGATGATGCTGCAAGGATGG